CCCCAAAACCCCAAAACCCCAAAACCCCAAAACCCCAAAACCCCGTTAAAAGAATAAATAATTGGATATTTGATTTATTTTCTCTCTGGGAAACTAATTGGGCTCACATCTCTTGTTCTGCTACTGCCACTTGAAGAAAACGTGCTTGTGCTAGTATCCTTTATCATTGTATAGATCTTCATGATAGCTTTATACATATTTGTCTCAAGATCATTTTGACTTGTAGCTATTGGTTTTAGTCGCAAAATTACCTAAAGATTCGACCATTTTGAATGTTTTCAATTGCGTTAAAGTTATCTCCTCCAATTTTCCTTTTAGATCAACAATCTGACTGTTAAGCTCATTAATTTGCTGAGTATGGTCAATAGCAGTAGGTAAATTTTGAGTTATTCCTTTATCGATCTATTTTAAACTTTAGATGCAAGAATTACCTTCTCCTCTATTCTATCTTTAACTCCTGTTTCTTGTTTCTCAATTTTTTCAAGTAGTTTCATCAGTTTACTCAAATCGACAGAGTCAATATTATTAAAAACATGGGCATCTTTCTTCTTTTTAGGGAAAACCAAATTTCTCAACTTATTTGCGATATAAGAAGTAACAATTGTTACAACTACGAAAGCTATATAGTTAAATGGATATGGGAATCCTAGTTCTTTCTCAAAATACTCAGCATAAGTATCTGCAAACTCTTTGATTCCATATAAGATCTTCTCATACTTGAACAGAAGTGAGATAGTTTCGATTTCTCCAATTAACATTGTTGGCTGAGGGACATCCTTGGCTTCATCTCCTAATTTAACTCTCTCTGCTCCTTCTATTAGTTGTCCACTGTTGGAAGATCCAAGACTGGAGCGTCCTCCATGCTCGACTTGTTGTTGGAGATGGTCTCCAGAAGGAACATGAGAATCTTGTGAGTCATATAGATCTTCTTCAGTGATCTCACTCTCATCATCAATTATTACATGAGAAGGTGTATGGTTATGGTGATCGTGGTGGTCATGGCTATGACTGTGATGATCATGCCCTTGCTCATGATTTATATGATCATAATGATTGTAACCATAATGGTTATGCTGATGATTCTCAATTGGGGCACTTTTAATGTTAAGCCCTTCATTTTCCTCTTGCTTTAATCCTTGGAGATTGTCAACACCCGCTTGTTCTTCATTCACTCCTTCTCCGCTAAAACTCACCTTTGGAGGTTCTCCATCAACAACTGGCTCTTCAATATTTTCCTCAGGAGGAGTATCTTCATACGTGTAAGGATTTCCACCTTGATGGTATGAAGGAGTAGGTGAGCCATATCCATATTCTTGAGGAGAGTCTGAAACTACTTGAGGATCTTTATAATCCCCATCTCCATAGTTTGAACTGATCCTCTCATTACTTCCATATTGATACTTTTGTTTTGAATAATCATTTCTAACTTCTTCTTGTAATGGTAATTCTTCCTGATTTGTCCCAGTAGGATTTTCTGAAATTGTTTCTTCAGAAAACACTTGTTGACTTTCTTCAGGAATATAAACTTGATTTGAACTTGGTTTTTCTAAAGAATAATTTTGTCAAATACCCTGTTCCTCTTGAATATCGACTTGCTCTTGCTCTCCAGTCTCAGCCTCTACTTCTACTTGCTGATGAATCTGATCCTCTTCAAGTTTTGGCTCATTTGTGTCCTCAGTAAGCTCGGTAGGTTCAATAGGCTCATAATCATCTAGGCTCAAGTTAAACACGTGTTAACAAAGATTTGAATCAAAAAGATCTTTCTTACCTTCAATATCGTTACTTCTCTCATCAGTTGCTTTAGCCCATGCTTTCTTGAATTCTTCTCTCTGTTTATCCAATTCTTTTTGTTCTTCAGGAGAAATTTGAGTTTTTGGAGGTCCTCTGTCCTTATACATAGGCTGAGCATTAACTCAGATTGCTAGGATAAAACCTAGTAATATCTATAAGTGTAAAAATTAATTATAAAGCATATTTAGACTAAAGATCCTTATGTCACCTTGTTTAGCACTTACAATAAAAATGGTCGATCTCATTTGATTAATTATTTACAAAATCTGGGGTTTTGGGGTTTTGGGGTTTTGGGGTTTTGGGG